ATATATATATATATATAGATATATATCATATGTACATACAGGATGCATAGAAAATTTCAGACCTAAATATGCGAGGATAGTGATGAGATCTTATACACACAAATGATAGAACTTTTCAATCAATCTTTTAGAAATAATGACAAAGATCTAAATCGATTGTCATTCATTTGAGAATTTGGGAAACATCATCAAACAATTTATGCTAAATAAAATTATAAAAAAGATGCAATAAAAATAACATATTTATATTAACAGTTTTTTGTCTGAACATCATAGATCATAGGCTGCGTTTCTGTTTGCGTTCATAACGCTCATAAAATCATTTTTTCCATTTTTTACAAATATTAAACAAGGACAAATGATGCTCGCGAGCATTATGAGATAAGTGGAACGCATCCATTGATAATCAATCAATGGTGAATCAGAGCATCAGGAAAACAGCGATAACTTGAAATGCTTACCATAGCCATCATCTTCGTCATGTACTCTTCTACGGCTCATATTTCACAATGTGTATAGAAAAAACCGATAATTTAAAAGTTGCGTATTTGCGATTGTTACGCACGTGTCGCACTACTTTTAATTTATGGGCGACGTAATCATAAAATTTCACACATCAAATTCTAACCCCATTACAAACCGTCTAAAAATCAAGCATAGACAATACAATGATGATTCTTCTTCTTATTTCAATGGCTCCGGCCTAACCTGTCTTCAAAGTTGAGAGGAAACTAGCTGAGTTCGGCAATGCACATCTGAGGTGTCGAAATGCTCTTTTTCTACAGTACACGTGACATATGCTATAATATAAGAGCACTCTAACGTCTCAGATTTGCATTACCGAACGCAGCTACTATAGGCGAGTTCAAGATGGTAGTTTCATATTGTACAATATATTGTATAAAGAGACTCGACATTGATGTCCGAGTTCCTGATTGGTAGTCTGATATGTATTCTGGGCTGCGCTCAGGAATTAAATGCGAACAGACCTAATATGTATAAGATATTTCATTCCAAGATTGCGCAGTCATCTTAACGCAGGACGAAGTGAAAATTACAGAAATGAACTCACTAAGTAACCAATGAAGTTACAAATATTCTAGTAAATTTGATCACTTTTGTAATTTTCATCTCGTTTTAAAAACCGTAATAAGCCTCCTGAACATGCTCTTTGATCAATCAAAATCAAATTCTTGCTTCAAATTCTAAAAAGGAACCTGAGTTGCCTTTTCGTGCTAACATTCGACACTCATTTTTAATGTCAAAACAAATTACGTTATAAAAATTGATAAATATTAAAATTGACGAATATCACGTGACTTATATTAACGTTAAAAATGAACGTCGAGCGTCAGCATGGAAAAGCACCTTTAAAGTCTGTTTCACAATGTGCTTTTTAATTCCAGTTTTTTGCTATTTTTTACATCTTATTTTTTTGCTTTTTATTTTTTATTTTTTTCGGTTTTTTGTTTTATATCACCTGGAGATCGATTCTGTATCTTGAAACGAGATGAAAATTACAAAAGTAAGCGAACTTACTAGAATACTGATAATTTCATTGGTCAACTCCTAGTAAATTTACTTTTTAATTTTCACCTTGTTTGAAGATACAGAATCGACCTTCTGAGATAAGAGTTAACGAACTTTAAAAGAAACAAGAGATATATAGCAAAAAATACAATTGTCGATAAAACGATTGCAAAGGAGTTAAAAGTGAAAAATAAGAAACAAGAAACAAAGAGCATATTGTAGAATAGGCTAGAATAGGCTAGAAAAGATATCTTGATTAATGTTTGCTGTTAATTACTACCATGTGCATTTCACTAACTATGGGGTAAGCGTTTGATTGGTACTGATTTAATCTGCCGCCATTGTGCGCAATGGAATACCTTAGGTTGAGTTTTCACTTGACGCTACGGCGCTCATTTTCAGCGTCAAAATAGGTCACGTGATCAAAATTGGCGTTTGATATTCGTCAATTTTGATCACGTGATCTGTTTTGACGCTGAAAATGAGCATCGTAGCGTCAAGTGAAAACCCAGCCTTATATTTTTACACCATGCATTTTTTCATGGCATTTTACATGACTAAGGAGTTGGCAGTCTAGTAATTAAGTAGTACAATACAGTCCTGTGGTATGTGAACAAATGAAATCGGATCATGGTAATCCGATTTTTTTCTCCGCTCGTCACATTTATCTCTCTGAGCAATTGAGCTGATCTGAATCAACGCATTTTACGCAACCTTGCGTGTGCGCGCAACCCAGAGAAGCGTGGAGAAGCGTTCTCGCTCGCGATACGCTCGTACTTGCATTCAGCGTCGCATTCAATTGCTCGCAGTGCTCGCACTTGCCGTCGGCGTTACGTCGCGTAGTGCCTTCGTGTGTCTTGTTAGTGTTTGTATTGTGTTTCCGAGACTCGAGTACCTGCGTGCGTACTTGTGTTGTGTGCTGCTTCTTGGAGACACGGCTATCATCCATCGCCCCTACTGTATCGCGATTGCTGTAGCGCGTGCAAAATGTGCAAAACAAACATATACAATTAGCGACGATCGAACGAGCCAACGAGGGAAGTGGAATAACACTGTGAAAATTAGAGCAAGTTAGAGACAGACGCGAAAAGGTGTCGCGAGGCGGAATTTGGTGTTGGTAATCGATATGACACTCGCGTAACTCTCGCGCGATCATGGGTCGCTGTCCTGCCCGAAGATCGTCGTCGTCGTCGTGGTCGTGGTCGCTGCTGTCGCCGCTGCCGCCGCCGTCGTCGTCGTCGTCGTCGTCGTCGTTACCCTCATCTTTGTCATCGTCGCTCATAGTAAACACGATAGATTGCGACGATCCGACGAGGCTGGAACAGTGAACGGGGTGGGGAGGCGGTGCGTGTTTCATTAACGTACATATCATCAGTACCTACTCGCAATCGGAGAACTTCTTGTTAAAGAAAAGGAGAGAGTTGCAAGGTGGAACAGTACCGCTGCGTCTTCCAGCAGAGAATATTTCGGACGATATATTGAAGGAAAAATTCAAGTGGTGTGCTTCCTACTTCCTCGAATAGACAAACTGCTTGGTTTACAAATTGAACTGGCATTGCTGCAACAACTTTTCTTAGTGGATCGAAAATCCAATAAAGAAGTAACGGGAAGGAAAACAAGATTTGGACATTCGGAAGAGAGGACGAAGGAACGTTCTCAATCATAATTCGTCGCCGTTCTCGTTGCCGGAAATCGGAGCAGAGTCGTTTTCGAATGCGGAGAGTGGCACAATGGTGATACGGTAAAACGATCTGCCATTTATTCTTGTAGTCTTCCTAAAACTGTAAGAATGAGAGGGGGGAGGAGGGGGGGGAGCATCCTCCCTCCCCTCCCCCCGCACGGTCGATAGTACTGCACGGACAATCGTGTCACACCGATCGACGTGCCGCAGTACATCGTGTGATTTCCCTATCTGCAACCGATACTGCGTCGTTGATGCACGTATAAACATGCGTATATATCCATACACACTGACGTGGGGCATCTGTGTGCGCCAGATATTTACGAACACACAAAACACGTTCACGACCTTGCTGTGTCGCGTCTCACAAATCAGTAACGTTATCTTTGGGAGAAGCGGATATCGACTTCGGTTTACACGAGATTGACGAGATTGCTTTTCCTTTCTTCTCATCCTCGACCGAGCTGATTACCTTGGTTTTTGTCTATGCGATCGCTTCTGAGAATCTCACGAGGAGGTGCGCGTTAGTCAACATCGTTTTCGTCGACGCGAGAACGTCGTTCCGCCAGCTCGCCCGATATTACATATTTTAAAAGTTGTCTCCTCCTTGGTCACGCACACTCGCATACTCCTCTTCCTCATGACCACCTTACCTTTCTCCTCTTCCGCGAGAGTAGCTTGCATTTGCACCGTTTCGAAAGCATAGGAAAGCTGACAAGAGCAAAACGCAATCGTTAAAAATTCGTATTAGAAAACGCATTTGAAGATTGCGAACTGAAGATTAGAACTTAACAGTTATCAGATAATCTTAATTAAAATCCATTCGAGTCTGTGATTTCTAATTAAAAGTCAAATGATTAGAATGAAATGGATTAAAATTAAAATTACCTGGCCAATTACCTGGTTCTAATCTTTAATTGTCGTTGAATCAGAATCCAAGAAGAAACGGAAAATAAAATGAAAATTATCTGCTCGGTTAAATTCTCATTTTTAATTTATTGAAAATAGAAATTCAATTATTATAATTAGAATAAAACGGATTAAAATTAAAATCGTTTAATTGATCAATTTCTAATCTTCGATTTGCAATCATCGTAATTCCGGCACGAATACGCGAAAGAAGAATTTCACGAGATTCGAAGTAAAAAAAAGACAATCTTCATTGTCTAACAGTGAAAGAATTGAGAGGAAGTGTTGGCGGAAAAATCGTAGATAGCGCGGTTGACGACAGTGTAGCTTTATTCTCGATTGCACGAGTGTGACGGGCGAAATATGTATAAATCTTTTTAGGCCATCGCGTCGACGATGTAACGTGGTGGTACGGCACTGTTCAAGTGGTTGCGAAAGATGTGTATTTATCCTGCGCGCGATAAGCATGTTTTGATCGTAGTTTGAAGTTTGAATATCTGCTGACACTTATTCTTTGCAAATGCTCGCACACAGGTGCTAATTACTTGCTATTGTTGAAACTGAAAGTTATACCTTTCGGCGTGACCTTAATCTCTGAAACTCTGTCGAACCAGTCGTGAGACAGAATAACGCATGGAATAATGAAGAATTCCTGAATAAAATTGCTATATGTTTGTGAACTTTTAATGGAATCAAGGTAATTATTTATATAATAGAACCTTTTCCGAATTTTAATGTTTCTTTCCTTGCAGTCTTGATAAAAATCTTTGTTGCGACTCTAACAGTGACAAGCAATCAAAGGAGAAGATGTGTAACGTATCTATTTTTTTAAGTGCTTATTTCCAATATAACTTTTTATGGATCTTCCGACATTATAAATATATGGCCCTTAAAAGTGTGTGTATTGAATTTATCTACATCTTTGCCTTACTAAATGGATGTATTTATAATATACTAAAAATAATGAAACTGAAAAGATTAGTACACAGACCTCTACGCAAGATAGAGCTGAATATATTTATTATTCTCTGCTTTAAAATATAAAATTTTGCATTAAAAATAAAAATTCTCTGCTTTAAGAACACAAAATTATATAAGAAAATAATTTATATCTTTAAAGCAGGAGGAGAATTTGTATTTTTAAGTGAAGATTTAATACATATAACACATACGCATGTACATTAGCCATATTTAGGACAAAAATCAGCTTTTCTAAGAGCCAAATATAATTATATAATGTTGGAAGATCCGAAAAGTTATATTGGAAATAAATAGTTAAAAAAATGAGGTAGGTTACATATTTTTCGACCTCTCCCAGTTGATTATCACTGTTAGAGTCACAACAAAGATTTTTATCAAGATTTTTTTTGCAAGAAAAAAACAGAAAAATTCAGAGAAAGCCCTATTATAAATAATTACCGGAATTAATTAATCTGAGAATAGTTTCCTAATTTTATTTTGCATTAATAATTACCTGTATCCCGATTCTGTAACTCTTATCAGTAATGCCACCGTCGTTACATTGTTGTTTTATCATATCATCATATCGCATTGTCGTCGCAGGTATTCGTCGCAGGTACATATAATAAAAAAGCATGCAAAACGACAATACAACAAACTGTCATTAAAGTGCGAATATATTAGAATACACGGTTTCTGATAAGTTGAAATTTGTTCTCCATTCCTATTGCCTGTACTTTATATTCCAATTAAGAGTCACTTTAATTACATATCGTATTATTAATTGTTGTAATTTATTAGTATTTTTGATCATTGTGTACACATATTTACTTAATATTTTCTTGAAAAAAATAAGGAAAGCTATTGTAATTAGTAGAGTTTTACTTTTTTGTTAAGGTATAAAAATCATCCCAGATGACTATTCCCGGAATTAATGGAATTTCTAAAAAAATCTTGTTAACAAATTTGTTTTGTTGTCGTAAAAGAATTGATTTTGTAATTCCTCATTATTCCAATTAATGTGGCTTAGATCCGTCGAAGGAAATTATTGTACGGGCTTTCAATGTATATTTTTAACAGCATGCTAGTAAATAGATGTATGTGTGAGAAGCTTGACATTTTTAGTTCCATAAATTACTACTTACTGAACTTTATTTTAGATAAAGTTTTAGATAAAGCTATGTATGGTATTGCATAGCATTTTCATAATGTATATAAAACTGTGTATATAGAATTAATTTACTGAATTAATAGCAGTCGTAATAGCCCATTTATGTGTAGGTATCTAGAGAGAAAATTTGAGGATAATTCGGTAGGAATATCCGTACACAATTCATACATGAAAGATCTATTTAGAAATAACCATCAGACAAATTTAAAACGACAAATTCAAAGAATTTTCGACACATGCTAAAGTTAATTTGATTTCTAGATCATACCTATGTGTCGAAGCATACAAATTATAGGAATAACAATGTACCGCGCAAGAGTTAAAAAAATTGAAAGCAAAATGTCCTCTTTGTTAACAATAGCTATTACGAGGCAAAGACGGACGACTACGTGCGCACTTTCACAGACATGGAAAATTTGATTACGCAAAAAGTTACGTCGGCAACTCACCCTGCGAACAGATAGAAAGAATCCTCAGTTAATTATGATCTTTATATTGAATGTTTCTCATTGCAGATCATAATTACCAATTCGCAGCTTGCCACGTGCAAATGCAATTGCTCAGATTTGTCTGCAACCGCGTGAAGACCCTTAAGACTGCCCGTCTCCTTACCAAGTACCCTTTCAAGTACCATGTGGAAGTAGTAATCTATAAATCCCACTGAAAGGAGGATGCCAGTAACTAAACGCATTCCATACCCTTCGCGGTAAGTAAGCCTACGGTTTACACATTAGGTAATGTAAGCCACAAAACCATCTATCTTCTCTATCACGTACGGTTTGTGTTCAAATGTAATTTGGATTTTCTTATAGAACGCACCGTGTATAAGAAACACGCAGCGTTTCGTAACGTTTATGTGAAAATGAAAATAAAGCGCGCTTTTGTAAACAATTACTTTGTAGAGAAAGTTAAAGAGACAGATCGCCTGTACGTGATGATGTATCAAGAGCTTCTTTCACTTGCAAATTGACAATCGAAATACTTCGATATTATTATCTTTAATAAACAATGCAAAATATTGAAAAGAGCGTGTCAAATTCATTCGTTTGACGAATTAACTAGTCTTGATGCAAATATATATTAACAACATTAAGTCATTTTGTTCGATATAGAATACTTAAACTTTGCTGTACAGTTACAGGTATATCTGATATCTTTTTGCTTTTGGAATCAGAAAGTATTTCCAGTTACAGACATCCTTCTGTTCAACGTTTTTATAGTTATTAACATATTAATCCCACACATTTTAATCTCCAATGAAATCTCCTTTTCCTTGGTGGAAGCTATAATTACACAAGATTAATGAAACATTCAGGGAATGAGAATAATTTGTGCAGTTTTAACACAACGCAAATATACTGTAACGCAATATGTAATTGCTATATTATATATTCATCCTCCATTTTACTCTTACGATCTCCTAACTAGGGCTATTATGACTGCATTGTTTCTATGAGGATTTATTTTTCTTTCCTGCAAAAATCTTGAAAAATAAAATAAGAATTATCATTGCTTTACGGGCTTAATAAATAAAATTCATAATACTCGTTGTACAATTGATTCTTCTGTAAATTGGTTGTTTTACAAAAAATTAACGTATGTATGTATGTCAAGTTGTTTGTCACATTATTCTATAAGAGATGATATGCCACTATCATTATTGTTCTCAGCCATAAGTATTAAAAATCAAAATAAAAACAGAAATTATAGTAATTACTTCAATAAGAGAAATTCTGATACTTGTGAAGTTATTAAATGTCTTGATTAAGTTTGCAAAACGGCAAATAGGAGATAAAATTTATTTCTAAATTAATTTTAATTTGATAGAAATCTAATTAACGTTTAACTATCGAAATTTAACATGATTGAAAAATATTTGTAATCAAATATCACAACATATCTTGCTGAAGTTTCGTTAGAAGAAAGAGATCGTTTCAAATTCATCAGAGAATCTGTTTATCATCGTCAAGAATCTTTAAAGAAAAATGGTAGTGGCACATCACTCTACGTATATATACGAACAGTTCATTATACCGTGTATTTTACATTAGATCCGACGGCGGTAGTAGCGAGAGCCCATTGCTCGTGGAAGAAGGTGAGACAGTCGGTGCACCTCACAGTCCACGCAATATACACAGTCACAGCCATTCACATGGCAATCCACACCGATCTCACAGTTATCATCATGAAAAGCCCAAACAATTAGTGAAATACGGTGAACTAGTTATACTTGGGTAAGGATTCCCAGCAAATAAAATGGATAATGTAAAAAGAACAGAAGGTTAATGATTAATGAATCTTTCTGATGACTTTCACAGGTACAATGGTTACCTTCCACCTGGTGATAGGGGAAGAAGGAGAAGTAAATTCGTATTATACAAACGACCCGTGCCAAATGGTGTTAAGCGTAGCAAGCATTATATCGTTAAAACGCCCCATAGTTCGCAAGCTATCCTCAACACGAAGCAGCACTCGATTTCGTACACACTTTCCAGAACACAGGCTGTTATTGTCGAATATACAGAAGATGAAAAAACGGATATGTTTCAGGTAAGCTCGAAATATTTTGTAGATTACAGAATTATTATACTCACAATATGTATGTCCACGGTACATACTCTATTGCAAAGTTTCTAAATTTGTTAAAAAATTTCATTTTTTATGAGATTTTTTGTAATTTCATTTATTAATTATTCAAAATACATTTTACTACAGTCTTTGTAGCAATTGTATACAATTTTTAAAAATATCTAATAAATTTCTCTTGATACGTAGGAGAAAATGACCTCCATCGAAATCTTCTGTACTTTACAATTTCCAAAATTATTAAAATGTTCTTTCAGCTTCATTTTCAACTTGGAAAAAGAAAATTATCATAAAAAGCTATATCAGGCAAATGCGATGGATGATCAAGCTTTAAGACTATGTGTTTACTCTTTGTTCTATTATTTTTCTTGATAAGTGTCAAAAACATACTTTCACTTTTGACGTCACTGCAAATAAATAATATAACGTAGAAAAGTGTAACAGAGTTAGAAATAAAATTTCATAAAAAATAATTCCATACTATTTTAGTAGATAGTTTTAGTTACATAGTCTATGGAAATAAGTTCGGAAATTGTTGAGACAGACCCTGTGTGGAGCTGTGCGCAGCAATGTACATATTTAAATTATATATATTCGTAGATCGGTCGTTCGTCCGAATCGCCTATCGATTTCGTAGTGATGGACACATGTGCGGGCAGTGGTGATGGTGGTCCCGCTAATGAAGGACGTGTCGCTCAAAGTACTATCAGCAGGTTCGCTTGTCGGATCCTGGCAGATCGATTGGATCCCAGAATCGCTAGAATCTATGCTGCTGGCTTTGATAGTTCAAGAAACATTTTTTTAGGGGTGAGATTCGCAATTTACGATTAACTGGGTGACCTGATACACTTTTGGCAAAAGTAACTTAATAAATATTCTTATACAGGAAAAGGCAACTAAATGGCAAGAGAATCGCGAGATTGATGGACTTACGACAAACGGGGTCCTAATAATGCATCCGCGGGGTCAGTTCTGTGGTGGCGAGGCGCAATGTGGTTTCTGGCGGGAAGTTAGTGTAGGCGGTGGAGTTTTCTCGCTCAGAGAAAGTAGGAGCGCTCAACAGAAAGGCAATGTCGTAGAGGACGAGAGCAATATTCTACAAGATGGTACCCTGATTGACCTCTGTGGCGCCACTTTACTTTGGCGGTCAGCTGAAGGCCTCGCGAAGTCTCCGGTAATTTACATCGTCTTTAGAAAAATGTATAAAATAATATATAGTTTATATTGCTAAATGCACATTTTTTTTCTCAGACAAAACAAGATTTAGAGGAATTAGTTGATGCTATAAACGCCGGCAGGCCGCAATGTCCTGTAGGCTTAAACACATTGGTTATACCACGTAAAGCAGCTTCGGATTCGACGCAGCAGCAGCCATACGTTTATCTTAAATGCGGTCATGTACAAGGTCATCATGATTGGGGCCAGGAAAAGGATAAAGTTACGAGAAGGTGTCCCATGTGCCTTGTCGCAGGGGCGGTAGTAAAACTGTCTATGGGAATAGAGCCTGCCTTCTACGTAGACTGCGGACCGCCCACTTATGCATTTAGTCCCTGTGGACACATGGCTACAGAGAAAACTGTCAAGTTAGTAATGTGTCAGTCGCTAATCGTTCACACTTTTGAAAATAAGTTATATAGATGTTATAAATCTTTCATGTATGTACTCTCCCTATTTTCCTTATTTATCGTTCTTCTCTTTTGCAGATATTGGGAGAAAGTAGCCATTCCACATGGCACAAATGGCTATATCGCGATCTGTCCCTTCTGCGCGGTACCGCTCGAGGGAACGCCAGGATATGTAAAACTAATTTTTCAGGATAATGTAGATTAAAAATATAAAATAAAGGAAACATGTAGAAATTAATAACTTCTTAAGAAATATAAGGATTATTGAACTCAATAAAGAGAGAGGAAGTTTTTCTCGTTGTTAATCATTCCTATTTGGCTTAAACAGATTATCCACATGAAATGGGTTAATAATGCCTCTTAATTAGAAGTTAGATGAAGTGATAATCTCTAAACGCAAGAAACGCGTATATGGAATACAGGTGGAATTGAATCCGGATCAGATCACGCTGGACCTGAAACCACTCGTGCTACCCGTATCACAGGTTCTGTATGTGGTAAAAAAGCTACACTATAATGCTACAATTACAATAGTTACAGTTGTTAAGAGTTATTACAGAATAGACTCATTATGTGAAACCGTTCGCGATTAATTAGTAATTAATTAGATTGATCAACTGATAACAATAAATTTCGCCAGAAGAAATTTTGCGAAAAATAAAAAACTTATTACTTTTGTATACGATTTGCAAGTAAAAATTCTGATATTGTACATTTACGTAGAACTGAAGATATTACTAAGAAATGAAAGAAAATTAGATACAAGAGATAAGTTTTTAATATTTTATTGCCAAAATACACGAAAAGTAATGTTTACTCGTTCTCTTCCGAACGTAAGCGTGCACTGGCATTTGTTACACGTATCGAAAGTTGTTGAGCACGCTCGACAATGAGTTTCCTCTTCTTACTGCTAACAGCATGTGCAATCTCTGCACAAAACTTGCGATTTTGCATCATTAAAACTTCAAGTTCCTGTAAAGAATCAAGCCTTTGTTTACTTTGTCAAATGCATAAATAGAATATACAATTATGCAGAAGGTTCAAACAACACATTTATTTATTTGTAATAATAATTCTAATTTGTACAATACAAAACGTCCTTTAAATCTGATTTTATTGAAACTTATTTAAAAAAATTTTTTTAATTCAATTCATGGATATTTTAATAAGTAATTCATACTAAATAAATTTGACAATTTTTTCAACATATACATTATTGTACACATTACATCTCAGATATCAATAAAATTAAATAATTGCAATAATGTCTTCAAATTTAATGTACATAACAATATTTGCAGGATTGAAGGATTAAATATAAATATTTTGAACTGTAATAATAAAAAATTTTGAAATATTTGAAAATATATATTTATATTTGTATTTCCATATCATAAGAAAAGAAAGTTGATTATGATAACAAAAGAGAATTAATATTAAATTTTGAATGCTTTCCATTTAGTGATATAAGTTGACACAAGTATTATTCTGTTTCTTAACATTCAATGAATAACAATGAACATTTGTGTCAAATTATGTCATGAAATAAAAAAGTATTCTTTAGTAATTAACTAAGACATTATTTTATATATAAAATGTCTGAATTAATTAAGTTTTAAGATGTTTTGAAGTGACATTTACCTTCACATTATGTACAAGGACCTTGCGGAAACCAGTTGGCAACATGTGACGCGTTTTCTTGTTACTACCATAACCAATACTAGGCATCAAGTACTGGCCCTTAAAACGCCTGCGAACTCTATTATCGATACCTTTCGGTTTACGCCAGTTGCGCTGTAAAGTGGTATGCGACATTATTTATATGTATATATACCTTTTAAATTATTTTATAGTTAATCCGACAGATCAATCTCTCTCGAGAGAATAAAAATTTAAGTAATTAAGATGCATAAATATGTAACGTTTTAATAACAGTGTGCAGAAATTAATGTTATAATGTATACAAAGTGTAGGCAATATAACCAAACTTTACAAACATGCTCACTTGATTGAAAAGGATAAAACAAAAGATACTCACCTTGAGTTTATTATATCTATCACTCTGATGCCTAATAAACTTCTTCGTTCTTTTTTTCACGATTTTGGGTCGATAAACCGGTCGGATAGACATTTTGAGTTCTGTTTAGCGTATCACTGAAACAGATAGTAATCGAGTCACTTCAATCATAAATGTTTTTTACTTATACCTCATGCCTAAAAAATATTACACTTTCACACTCCAGAAAATCATCAATAATTAATCAATTATTACATTATATTTGCGTCATTAATGATTATTACGAAAAATGCGGATTCTCCGTGTGATACATACCCGCTGCAAATATGTCGAAAAACAGAAAGACAGAAAAAGGTTTTGCTTACTGCGCGCCATCTACTACATACTGGACGTTATTAGGGTGCGATCACATGTAGCATAGTATGCGATAAGCGATAAGATACATTTTCACGAGCCACTTAAACTAGACTGTGTTCCAAAATTCACTGTTTGCCGAAGAATGAGCATGATTGGTTCTTACCTGTGGATCCAACCAATCATGTTTAATTGCTCAGCAAACAAATCTACAACGGAATTCTCTAAGGCCTGATTGCACCAACGTTACTTCGATTTTAAGGCTTGAAACTCTTTCTGTCTCTGTTTCTTTTTGGCTTTAAAATGAGACAGATAGAAATGGATTCAGATTTTCAGAAATATTGATTCACGAATATTAAAATGAATGCTTTTCAATTCTTTTATTGATTTATAGGAATTGTATGGAGCATATTTCTATGCCTTTCAATTTAAAAATAATATTAGCTTTTTCTGTGCAAAAACATAAAATTGTATACTGTTTAATTCAAAATTTTGAATAGAAAATGCAGTTTTGCATCCAATTAAATCCAAAAAAAGTATTCGCTATTTAAAATACTCATTCGAATAGAAAAAAATTTCAATGCATTTTAATCCATTCTTGTTTGCTGGGTACATTTTTTTATGTAGGAAAATAACCAAATGGCTCTCTGCGTTCAACAGAATAGAACAGTTTTGCAATCGTTTTATGATTGTCTGTTAGATAGCATCATAAATTCCTTTAGATCTAAAAGTATAATCCAATCAATGCAAAGAAAATTTTCAACAGTTGCAAAATAACGTTCTGCTGAACGCAGCCAATCATATTAAAGGATCGTCAAGCACAGCCTCTGCCAATAACTGTCTCGTCCGCCGCAGCGCGGCGCTTTGAGAGGCGATTTCGCGCTTCTTTTGTTATTTCAAATTCGCGTTTCTTTTGTTATTTCAAATTCGCGTCGTGTCGGTTGGCGAGTGCGTTATCGAACGATTGCGGAGTAGAAATCGTTCGAATTGCGTCCGCGTGTTTAATCGTCCGCGATCGCGATCGATTTCCAGAAGAAATCCGTGTCCGGTCGAGATGTTGCCTCGCGAGTGTTTTTTTCCGACCCGAAACGTGCAAGATATGTGCGTAGCGTGCGTGTAGAACATCATAATGAAGGTGTCGTGCATCAACATCGTCCAGTCTCGGATGGTCTTGGATGGTCCTGGAATCGACGGGATCCAGAGGACATCCGCCATCGAATCCTTTCCCCAGCGAACAACGTAGATACCACGATCGTTAGCAAGTAGGCGCATTATATTCTGGAATTAACATCGTTAATATTTTCGCTGGAGTTTGGTCGTACTTGTCTTTCGCGTATCGAAGCTTCGATCAATCGTGAACGTAGTTGAAATTGTTCAAATTACAAAATTTCAACCGTTGGAATTTAGAGTGACAGATTTATCGTTTTAATTGCTTATTTATGTACATTTTCACGTGCTGCTAAAATAAGCAATTGGAGCGACAGATTTTTCGCTCGTTATTCAACGGCTGAAATTTTGTAGTTCGAACAATTTCAACTACAAGCGTACAACTCAAATGCTCGAACACTATTAACAAAGCTGACATACTTTTATTGACCGTGTTGATCACCATTGACTGCGAGATCCTCAATTTGTCGTCTAATAAATTTTATTCTATTTTGAAACAATTCCGTTTTGGTCGTCCCAAACAATAAAACATACATCAATTCCTGCCATGTGTACCTTAAACAGGAGTCTGATACATTGCAGACTCGTTGTTCTGATAAAAAGTCTCGACAGGCATAACTCTATCTGAATCATTTGGCTTCTACAAAGTGTCACATTTCATAACAGGCTAATTCTACAATATCTTATTTTTAACGAGTATAGTATATTCCTATGTCATTATTCGCACTTTCTAGGTATATTTTTAAGTAAAAAGTCTGATTTATAAGAAGTATCAAGTCAATACTATCCTTATAACTTTTTATTTAAAAATATACATACAAAGTATAATTAATGACGTAAGGATGCATTATACTCGGTGAAAATAAGATATTGTATTGTTAGCCTGTTTTGAAAAGTGACTCCTTGTAAAAGTGAAACAGTTTGTTATAAGGAGTCATGCCTGTGGAGATTTTTTTATCAGGACGACAAGATCTACAACATATCACATTTTCACCCAATTCCACCTTCAATTTCCAAAAGGTTTGTGTGGAGTCCTTTCTAAGTAAAGTCAACATTTTTATTATTAAATAATATTTTAAAAAGGAGGAATTCTATATTCAAAGCGGATCTTAGTAATTTAAATAATTCTTCATGAATTTATAATATTCTGATTCTGTATACCGCATATTAGATCGAATATAGGATTCCTTTATTTAATTAAATTTATTTCCCTTGAATAAATTCCAATCTCAATCTCTAGTCTGATCGCGGCTTAATCCGATTTTAGGCTTTGTGTTTAGATTTGTTTCCAGAAAAATATTCTTTATCAAGAAAAAGGGTGAATCCTTTATTTTTCTCAAGATTAGATATTGCTACTTTAATCATATTTGACAACCAAATAATACATAATAAAATATAGAATAGGAATGTTCTCTTTCTTTCTTTCTCCTTCTCTTTTTCTATGGTCCAATACAGGAAATACATTTAATTAGAAGAAATAAAATATTTTTATGATAATTATAATAAAAAAATGTTTTTGTAACCATTATGATAAGAGAAATCAATATTTTTATAATAATTAAGGCGGGAATTTGTAGTACATAAAGAACCAACAATACTCGACGATGTTATAATAGTGAATAATTTTAATAACGATGAAAATTATGTACATATTTACAGGCTTGTAAACACTTATTCGTAATATGACACGTATGTAAGGGCCTTACTACTATTTCGTATGAAACGCTTTTCTACTCGATTAACGGATATAAACTC